AATGAAACTGTTCGGATAGATGTCGGAATTAGGCTTTATGATGGTGAAAAATTAAAGATTCAGCGTGGGAAATCTTTAGTTCTATCCATACAAAAATCTGCTAATGCTAAAAGCTTATTACAGGCAGTTCTAAACAAACATATGGCACATTCAAAAAATAAAAATTAATCATACAACTGATTTTTATGGACAGGATGCAATTGATCGACAGTGCCTGCAAGTTCTGGAAAAAAATTCAGCAGGCTTCCCAGCAACAGTGTCATGCCTGGATGGTCGGATTTGATGGGTATTCCAGTGTAATCTGACAAAATCCAAGTAACGCTGAATGACTTCATGGAAGCAAAACCAAGCACATTGCATGTGATATACATTTCCATCCAGTAATATTCTCCTGTCACGTAGATCTTTGAAAAGATTTATCCACCAAGAGGTACGAGACCTTTTTAGATGAGACCACCAGCATTCAATGCGCTGATTGCCTGTGGAGGAACCATATCATAAAACACGTCTGCTATAATCATCGACAGCTCCATGGATCGGAAACCCTAATGGTTTCAATTTATCATAACCGTCTACGTGCCAACATTCGTTTGGACCAGTAGACTTGTACTCCCGCTTCTTTAGCCGATGTTGCTTCCGTTCTTCAGTTCCATCTGGATCAAGTTCTTTTAAAATTCTTTGAACCATGTCTCTAGGTACGCTCAATCCATGCTTCAGCCGTAAGGTATGCCACATGCTTCTATAGCCTAATGCACAACTTGGACCATCCAACTCAAGTTCTATTAGTTTAGCTATTTCCTCATCGTTAACGTCATTGGCTGTTTTTCTTCTCAGACCATATTCTTTCAGCCGTCGCTTCAGTGTTGAAAGTGCAATACTAAATCCATGATATTTTTCCAAGAAGCACAAAATTTTTTCATATTCGTATCCGGGCAGGAATGGAAGTAAAATTCGATGATATCTTGTTCCTTTGTACAGCTTTCTTCTTCGTTATCGTTTACTCGCCGGCCACAAAACGGGCAAAAATTGTAAGTTTCAAAAAGTTCATTAAAACAAGACGAGCAAAACATTGGACAAAGTTAAAAAATAAAACAATGAATGAACAGAATGTTGGAGGACATAGTTCTCAAAATTAAGAATTCTCGAATGTGATTATAAGTGACCGCACAAACGCGGGTAAGACTGGGACGAATGTTTATCGTGTATTTTGAAATGTGTAGCGAGTATTTTGAAATGTGTAGCGAGTATTTTGAAATTTGTAGTGAGTATTTTGAAATGTTTAGCGAGTATTTTGAAATGTTTAGCGAGTATTTTGAAATGTGTAGCGAGTATTTTGAAATGTGTAGCGAGTATTTTGAAATGTGTAGCGAGTATTTTGAAATGTGTAGTGAAGATTTTAAAATGTGTAGTGAGGATTTTGAAATGTGTAGTGAGTATTTTGAAATGTGTAGTATGATTTTGAGTGAGACTTTCTTATTCTTTGTTATGTTTCTTAAATTATCCAAGCGTACATATCCAAGCTTTCCTATGATTTGAGGGAAAATGGTTTTTATTTACTCTTACACCTTCTGCCTTTATATTTATTCGTTCTGTATTTCTAGAATAAGGTTTACAAATGCCCCAAAGAACATCTTCTTTCTGATTTATTGCCACTATTCTACATAAACAATACTATGTCTGACCATTTAATTGTCCGAATTTGATCGAATTTGATCTGACCATTTAATTGTCCGATCTTGTAATTTGATCTCGTATTTTGACATGTATGTTTAAAATAGGAAAGGTGGATTGAGCGATTGAATCTCAAGTACTTTACTTAGATGTCCTTTGAAATCTTTTCCATTATATAAGTGCGTTCAAATGCTTCAATGTTTTCAGTTGTTCAAAATTTTTTTGTAAAACCGGAATTTTCATCCTTGTTAATTTTAGCATAGGATTCACTACTTGATGTGTGGGGTCGTTTTAGTCAGTTAAATAGTACTGTGTAGAACAATACATCTCCGGCCACTTCCATTTGGATCATTCTTTCTTAACTTATAAACAAACTTTCGTCACTTTGTTTTGAAATATCATCATATATATTCCACAGTTAATCATGCAATTTAGTTGTTTCAACATTAGAGACAATGATTATCTTGTTACTCTACTTGAGTACTGGGGCGGATCTAGAGTATGTTAAATCCGTCGCGCGACTGATGTTTGAAATTCAAAAATTACCTATTCATATTAATTAAAAATTCATTAATTATTCTTACTTTATTATCGCATTTACTTCGTGATAAAAATCCAGCTTTATTTATTATTGAAAACTAATGACTAATCCAATGAATATCTCGTTGGTAACCAGATCAGTTGAATTTTAATTGACCTGGAATAACCGACTGATAAGTGGGGTGGCTTGACTGCTTCGACTGATAAAGGAGTCTATGAACGCGAAAAACGCTTAATTCATTGGTCAATAGCCAGATCAGTGGACGATCTGGAATAATCTCGACCGATAAGCGGGGTGGCCGGACCTATAATGGAGTCCACTTGCTATCGTGTAATTGGTTCGTTTAAATTTTTGTCTTACTGTGATTGGTTTGAACGATTTCGACTGATAGCCAACTGAACTAACATAGTCAAGCTAACTGTCTGAATTGAATGTTTGATCGTTTCATAGTAATTTTCTAAAGCATGATAGAAACTAAACTACAATCAGATGGAATTTGTGGAAATCTTTTACAAATTCATATATTGACATGAATCCTGCTGTCCAAACTGGGAATTTTTTCAAGAGGGTGAAAAATTTATGGATGAATTGTAAATGCTTGGCAAAGACGATCTCGCGAGCCACATCTCAGTCATTGATGTTCAAAAGCAAGCCAACATTGTTTCATGCTATGGCTATAGCTAGTAGTCCAATAGGGAGTCGGACAATGCTTTAATGAAACATCTGCCAAAGTCAAGTGACGTCGTATTTCACGTGGTAGACATGGTTATAGCTAGTAGTCCGACTGGGAGTCAAACAAGGCTTTAATGAAACAACTGCAAAAATCAAATGACGTCGTATTTCATGTGGTAGACATGGTTATAGTTAGTAGTCCGACTGGGAGTCAAACAAGGCTTTAATGAAACAACTGCAAAAATCAAATGACGTCGTATTTCATGTGGTAGCCATGGTTATAGTTAGTAGTCCGACTGGGAGTCAAACAATGCTTTAATGAAACAACTGCAAAAATCAAATGACGTCGTATTTCATGTGGTAGACATGGTTATAGCTAGTAGTCCGACTGGGAGTCAAACAACGCTTTAATGAAACAACTGCAAAAATCAAGTGACGTCGTATTTCATGTGGTAGACATGGTTATAGCTAATAGTCCGACTGGGAGTCAAACAATGCTTTAATGAAACAACTGCAAAAATCAAGTGACGTCGTATTTCATGTGGTAGACATGGTTATAACTAGTAGTCCGACTGGGAGTCAAACAATGCTTTAATGAAACAACTGCAAAAATCAAGTGACGTCGTATTTCACGTGGTAGACATGGTTATAACTAGTAGTCCGACTGGGAGTCAAACAATGCTTTAATGAAACAACTGCAAAAATCAAATGACGTCGTATTTCATGTGGTAGACATGGTTATAGCTAGTAGTCCGACTGGGAGTCAAACAAGGCTTTAATGAAACAACTGCAAAAATCAAGTGACGTCGTATTTCATGTGGTAGCCATGGTTATAACTAGTAGTCCGACTGGGAGTCAAACAAGGCTTTAATGAAACAACTGCAAAAATCAAGTGACGTCGTATTTCATGTGGTAGCCATGGTTATAACTAGTAGTCCGACTGGGAGTCAAACAACGCTTTAATGAAACAACTGCAAAAATCAAATGACGTCGTATTTCATGTGGTAGACATGGTTATAGCTAGTAGTCCGACTGGGAGTCAAACAAGGCTTTAATGAAACAACTGCAAAAATCAAGTGACGTCGTATTTCATGTGGTAGCCATGGTTATAACTAGTAGTCCGACTGGGAGTCAAACAACGCTTTAATGAAACAACTGCAAAAATCAAATGACGTCGTATTTCATGTGGTAGACATGGTTATAACTAGTAGTCCGACTGGGAGTCAAACAATGCTTTAATGAAACAACTGCAAAATCAAGTGACGTCGTATTTCATGTGGTAGACATGGTTATAGCTAGTAGTCCGACTGGGAGTCAAACAATGCTTTAATGAAACAACTGCAAAAATCAAATGACGTCGTATTTCATGAGGTAGACATGGTTATAGCTAGTAGTCCGACTGGGAGTCAAACAATGCTTTAATGAAACAACTGCAAAAATCAAGTGACGTCGTATTTCATGTGGTAGACATGGTTATAGCTAGTAGTCCGACTGGGAGTCGAACAACGCTTTAATGAAACATCTGCCAAAGTCAATTGACGTCGTACTTTACGTGGTAGACATGGCTATGGCTAGTAGTGTTTATGACGTCAAGATTTGGTAATGTTTATCATCAGTTGTTTAATGAACCAATATATACAATGAAAGATAATATTTATGTTTGTTTGCATTAGATCAGATTGAATTTGATTGGCGTCGGAGGTTTGGAATCAGTTTACTAAGTTGAAAACTTTTTGGCGAGTTTTACTTTCGAGTTTACTTCGACTTTATCACCAGGGCCGTATATATCTACAGGCATTGTTAAATTTTTCGACAATTTTTGGTATACTGGATCTCGCTCATAACGAGTACGTCGCCACACTAAAAATACGTCTAAATATTGAAAGTTGAAAGTTTATTGTTATACTATTCATTTTATTTTGATTGAATTTTGTGCTCTTCTAACATAAAGTATTTTTAGCATAGATTATAATGTAATTATCAATATTTATTCATTCAACCAAAAGAATGATAGCATAATGCTATAACCAACAAATACGAGCAATAACGACCTTATCTAACAACATTTGAGAAATTAACCTTCCACTCGTCTTACTTGTAAACGAGACAAGTCTACTCAAAAGCAGAAAGCCTTATACGCTACAAGTCTCGGTCTATGATAAACCTTTCACCTTTTAACTCTGCTATACCAGTCTTAAGCCCATTGTGCGACTTGTGCATTTAATGTGTCTATAATCATTGATGTTTTGAATTTACGATATGTTGTTTAAGTTATAAGAAACTGTCAAGTGCGTTTTTAGAACAGAAAGATGTGGCATAAAATCGTTCATAAAGCTTTAGGAACATAAGGCTTTGGATAATGATTATTGTCGCACCATTTTTCAAACATTTCATTAATCAATTGAATCTGGTCTTCATTTTGTTCCGGTTTTTTTGCGTAAACTCTGACATATGTTTCCTGGAAATTTTGTGGCATCATTTTACTAACTTCTTCTCTTTTTATCGGAAACGTTTCCGTGCGGTATTTATCGAAAAACCTGACAGCATCAACTGGATTTTTATTTTTCATCCCAAAGTCGAACTCCACTATAAAAACAAATATGTCGTTTTTTGTCAATTTTTCTTCTGATAGATCAATCAAATTTTGGGCGATTTCATCTTCTTTTGGGCAAGGGTCGCTCGACGTTAGATCAGTCTGACCACAGAATTTGTAAATCTTCCGTTCTTCTATGCATCTTATCAACTCCTGTGCGTTTTTGACAGCTTGCAACCCGCTCTCATTTCGTAAGATATCATACAGAATGCTGTCTGTTAGAATGGTGTATCGTTTCATATCTTTCACAGCTTCTGAGATTTTCATGATTTTATCGACTTCGTAAAACGCCCTAGCTAGCAAATCTTCTATTGGTGCCTGAGTTTTGTGTTGATAAACTCTGTGATGGAGGGACCAACGTGTGTGGAACAACTCGTACAAGTTAAACACCTCTTTGTCACGTACGCAGATATGAAGTTGGTCGTCAATAGACATGATACAAATATTTTCAAAGTAGCGTCGATGGTCAAAACTACTTTTCACTCCAACATTAGCGCAGTCACGGGCAATGTAATCAAACTTGTTGCAGTCGATGCCATTTCGTTTGTTTGATACGATTTCATAAAGAAACCATTTTGAATGACCTGTAAATAGACATTTTCTTTCTACTTTTTCTTCTTCTTCGTTGGGGTCTTTACCTGTATACAACGAGAATTTATTAAGTCTCGGGCGACTATAATATAAATGTGGAGTTGCGTTACTGGAATAATATTTTGGGAGGAATATTAAATAATGAGTTTGAATCCTAATGAGAGTTAGTATGAAATTTATTTTGATTTTTAGAATTACCTATGATGAGATCTTTAATGAATTTTATATGATCCTCATCAAGGTTTTCCTTTGCAAAACTCTCCTCAAGTTCACCATTTGACTCGAGCATATCTTCAAAGAGTTTCAGTGACGCCTTTTCGTGTTTCCACTCATTGTCAGCATTGTCAGCAGTTTTACGACAAAACTTTTTCATGTACACTTTTTCGAAGAAATAAGAGAACGGTCCATGGCCAAGACCACGACAAAGACCTGCTATTTTGACACATAAACGTTCCTCTTTTGTGATTTCAATCCTTTTTATATTTTCTCCTTTTCTCTCTTCACGATGAAGCTCGTAAAGTGTATCGATCAATTTTCCACACAAATAAGATGTTCCAAGAGCGTGTTCGAACCTGTTTGAAGATAAATTGTCTGAGTAAAAATTTTCAAAAGTTGCGCTATTCACCAGTTAATGTTTAAAACATATCCCATAGTGTTTTCCACGTAATAACCTTACCTACTGTGAGTTGCTCCAGGGTAAACATAATCACAGAGTCCCAACTGCTTTATATCTTTCAAACGCTGAAACTGTCGTGTGTTGATAATCTTGACCAACAAAGGATGAAATTCGATGAAACCATGAATTGGATCGTTGAATATCTTAGATTTATCAATTGACTGGCTATCTTCTTTTCTTAAAGTTGCAGAATCTCCCATATTTACTCAAACTAAAATTTTCAAATAAAACAGTTTTGTTTGCTTTTATACATTTTACATCAAAGAGATAAACAGAGCTATTCGGCTTTGCTGTTTACCAATACTTTGTGGAAATCTATGTCTTAACATTTTCAAATTCTAGTCTTAAATGTATGCATGTGCAAGACAGATGCATGCACTGACAGGCAAAGGCGTAACTAGAACGTTAATTAGGGGTGTGTATATTCATATATTCATGTGTGCCCTACTAATTTCTTTTGAAATTCAACTCACGTCCAAAAGAAATCATTAGGGCACAATAGAATACATAGGTTTGAACTCTCCCTCCAATTAACGTTCTAGTTAAGCCTCTTCTGACAGGTTACCTCATATTTAAGGGAGATGCAATCAAACGCCTCAATTATCTGCCGCATATGAATCTAGATTCAAAGAATTTGTAAGGTAGATAACTCAATTATTGCATTTGTTTTTTAAAGCTTATCATATGTTGATCTATAAGTTGCCACACTTAAGGTGTGTTCACACGATCCGATTTGTTGGATCCTAAAATACGGATCGTGTGAACACATATAAATTGAGCCTCGAGAAATCGGATCGTGTGAACTGGCCACAAAAACATGGTTACGTTGAGGAGCTCATTTGTACGTGTGCGGGGATGATCTTTTTTAATGAGACAAACAAACATCAAAGGCGATGGTAAGCAAAGAAATACGTGCTGCGATATTTTCTCGGGAATGCGTCAATAATAAAATAAGACGCTCTCCGATAATGGCATCAATATTTATGATTGTTATAAAATTACCACTACCAAAAGTCTGTTTATTTTTCAAAGATTTTTTCTCCCTATTTTTCTATGGTAGCTGTTGAAGCAATATCAACTAAGCCAATGATCATTTTGAGAAAACAGTCATTTCACTCAAGATGTCTTATTTGTAATTTGTGTACGCAGGTGGAATCTTGTAAAGAACCGACCGGCAATACGTGTTGTCATTACAAGATAAGTAGCATAGAGTTTATTGTTTGAGTAATAACTGAAGAAAGTTTTCAGACTCAATACATCTGATAAAATTGATCTATCTACGTGCTTGTCATCCGTTTTCACCTTAATTTCTTTTCTCTTTGAACACGTATCAAACAGTAAATTGATCACGAAAGTTTTTCTACAGGCAGCTGTCTTATTTTGAAAACATTTTTATATAAAATAATTTTTATGCATTCAGAAGATGAAAGTTTTAAATATATGTAAGCATTATGTCCAATCTTAAAAATGTGAATAAAATGAAGTGATAAACTAATGTGATAAAAAACGCGTCAAATAAGAAGTGAGAATCGGCGCTGACAAAATTAAACGAAACATTTAGCTTGCTTAACTAGGCAAGTTTATGTCAAAACTTTGGCTAAAAGTAGTGACATTAACTTGCCTTTGTTGAGCAAGCTAAATATTTCGTTGCATTTTGTCAGCGTCGATTTAGTTACTCGGCTTTCTACATTTAGTCGAAGCAACCCCTTTAATTAAAGCAATGTTACAAGTTCTCCCACCTTGTACTACTATGTTATCACCGATTCAAAGATAGCTGGCACTTTAAATTCTTGACAAAATCAAAGCTTCTAAAACTCTTTAGTTTGCAACCAGTTGCGTTAAAATTAAATGAACAGATGTGTGTAAACAACGGCAAGTCTATGAATCAATAAATGCTTGCTATAAGATGGCTTTTTGCGCATGCGTCATAGAAACAATATGCAACGGGCGAAATTGAAAGTATACTTTTCGATAATAGCTTGAAAATTATGATTGCTTTGAAACAAATCCTGCTACGTTTCTGTCGTAATATTCTTCAGCCAATTTTCCACTATGAAATTTTTGTAGTATAGTGGTAGAAGCAATATCGACCATTATAACAAGCTCATATGCAAATTTTTCATATATATTTGAAAATTTATTATTCAATGGAAAAGACAGGTGCTCTATTTTTTACAATATTTACCTCGTATTTTTAAATTTAGTTTATAAATCTTCCGCTAAGTGGCAATGCAGATTGACAGAACTTCTGCATTTGTTTTTAATAATTCCCTCTTTTCCGCAGAAACACGTCTTAACAGGTAAGGGTTCCCCATAAAGGACACATGCAAGCTAGAAGACAAATTTATTTTCTTGTAATGCCTTTAACGTGAAAATAAGACGTACCAAGTTTCAAAGTCGTCCGCAAAATATTTCAAAAGATATTTAGGGTTATAATCGGTAAAAACACGGTATTCGTTGACCATTGCTAAAACGCCGTGAGATTGTTTAAGTCTGGGAACTGGGAAAGAGTGACGTATTAGTTGACATAAACAAGCATTGTTTTTATATCGTTCTACGACTTGCACGGCTTTCAGTTGTTTGCTATTACTGTTTTTTATTTATCAAAAATTAATGGATTCTTCTTCTGAAGAAGCCGATTATAAAGACCTCATTGAAGTCCTTTAACATCAACACCGCAATATGGGACAAAGTTGCAGGGAACGGATCAACCTGGCGCGATCTCATCTTTAAGGGCTGTCAAGCATCAGAAGAAAGGCGGACTGTGGAAGCCAAACAGAAACGTGAGCCGCGGAAATCAAGAGCAGCCAGTGCTTCAACATCAGATGCATTTTTGGTTTGTTCTTCGTGTTCGAGAACATTCCGTGCCAAGATTGGTCTTATTAGCCACCTCAGAACTCACCGTACCCAGTCTTCTAGTACTTGAGTTAACTTGTCAAGGTCATCATCCCCTTGCGAATAACGAACAACAACAACAACAACAACATTACTGTTTTTTATTGATCAAAAATTAATGGATTTTTCTGAAGAAGAAGCCGATTATAATATTATCATCAATAACAATGAGGTACAACCTTAAATGTTTGAGCCTTTGGCCAACACACAAGGTGGTGAAAATGATGACAATTCTTCGTCATCGGAAAGCGAAGATGAATACATTCACAGAACTGAAATTGTTGAATGGTTAGTTGCATTTTATTTATTAAAGCGAGATTTGTGTTGCTTAATAGCATCAGTTTTGCCGATTTTTGATTTGTGGCGAGTCAATGAGACAGGTATTTCGTTCACTCCAGCGACATCAAGAGCTTTGGACAGTGTTAGATTAATGCGTCTGCAGTACAAAACTTCTTTCATCAAGTCCTCAACATATCCAAAAAACAAATCATTATTTATGTTTGCTTTGCATTGCAATTTGAGAAAAGGTAAGTTTATTTTTCTGTGCTAACCATAAATGCTGTCAACTTTCACTGGTTTGATGACCCCTTGTCCTTCTTTTGACTTTGGATAAGCCACTCTTTAAGTCAATGCCTCTTCTGCTTGCCCACCATTCTTCGTTTTCTGAGCTTTGTTTCCATTCTCATTGAAATGAAGAGTGGCAATCAACAATCAACAAATGAATGTTAAATTTATGTTTACAACTATTGCAACTTATTGCTTTTGCAATGATGACTAAATAATCATACACAAGTCATAATTATATTACTTTGCTTCCATTGATCTGTAGAAAAAATGGATATGTTTTGGTGCAAAAAGAATCACCACTTGGTGGAAACCTTTGATGGATGAAGTCTGCTTCTGATAACTGAGTTTTTCATTATCTCTCATGAGATACTTGGACTCAACAATCCAAGACAGCTCAACATAAGCTTTTGAACCTAAGATCAGAAGTTAGTTAACAAAAAAGAAGAATGTTGATGTTACTTTGAAATTTATTCACTTACAATACCCTTTATTCTAGGCTCTAACATATCATGTTCACATTATGGGAATACATCACTATGTCCCTCATGGATGTCACTTATATTGTTGAGGACTGACAACCACTTTGCTTTGACAAATTCTTCATCACCATTGCTGGAAGCAGCACACCAGTATACATGGCTGGAAATTGAATGGGCCCAATCTGACAATAATTTGCAACCACTTTTTTTTTGATGCTGCCAAAATTTTCTTTTTGATTCCTGTTAGATTTTGATTATTGATGAAATGTGTAAAAGGTTGGTTTGTTATGACAATCTATACTTTTCGCTACATGCCATACATCAAAGTAGTGCTCGATTTTTGGTCTTTGTTTTGACATGTAGGACTTGATTTGAGCATGTCTGTCTGTGGTCATTGATTTCACCTGTATCCCACTTTCATCAAACTTTGCCAAACAACTTGTTAATCCCTCAAGTTCCATTGCTCCAGAGTTGGACACTTCATTGGACTGTTTAACATAATTATGTGAGTAATCGAATCATGCTTTATGTACAGTTGTTGAAGAATTGTTTCCTGAACTAGTTGTGTGTCTAAAATGTTGTTAGATTCCAAATCCATGCAGCTATATGACCCATACTTGGCACAATATCCAGGCGAATCACATCTTTCATCTCCTCCAAGGTTAATGTTACTTTCTCTGATTGTTTCTAGAAGATGCTTTTGGTGCTTATGCCAAACATTTGAAACACTGGGTATCAAATATGCTGTTTGAATATAGCTATATGTACGTTCTGACAGAAATTATATGCCTGAGTGACGAAGGAATTGAAGAACTTTGCTGGGGCTACTTCCACTAAATAAGATGCTGGCAGTAAAGACCAAGTTACCCAAAGGCATTCGCCCATGCAGAGGTTGGCTAATCCAGTCTCAAACATAACCATAATGACATTTTGCTAGTACGTTAACCATACTACAAGTCGTTTTCGTCACAATGGAGCAGCTTTCACCACAACATGGGCATTGACTCACTAACTGTCTCAAGCAACAATCAAACACTATGTATTTTCTCTTATTTTGAGCATCTTTCATATGACATAAAAATTACCATCAGAATCAGAGAGAGATAAACGTAACGTTTTGAGAAACATAACAGAGAAAAGCAATGTAAAGAATAGTCAGGTGACTGGATAGTTGGTACTAACGTCGCATTGTCATTGTCGGATTCTTCATTTTTGCTTAACTCATTTGAACATTGAGAGTCTGATCCATTGTAGCTATTGCTCATCGTCGACGTGCTCTCTGTATCAGACCATACATCGCTATCCTCAAAATGTTCAATTTCACATAAAGTCGTCTGATTTTTTGTTGAAATAAACTCAACCTCCATACCTTAGCATAAAATTATCGTATTGCTGAATTTTTTACAAAAATCAAAACGGCCGGAATGGAAAGTCTATACATCTACTTATCATATTTATTACTTTTGTTTGAGTGGTTCTTGACCTTACGTGTTTTTGTGGACGGATTGTTATGGCTGCTTGGCATTTCACATTGCGTTTCTAAGGTACGTTAGGGAATTTTCTATGAGTTAAAATAACACAGAAAAGATCAAACGACATTTGTCTGAATTAGTTACCACTGTACATGTTTGTGTTTCGCTGTCTACATATATTTTGACATCATTCATCTTAGACAAACTTCCTTTGAGGTAAAACGCACAAACATTTTGAGCCGATGACGAGACATCGTGGTCGTCGTCTACAAGAAAGTCGTCATGTTCTGCAAGAACGTCGTCAATAATCCCAAATTATAAAATTGTCTTGTAATGCTATATAGCTTAGTTTTTGATAAATGTAAGAAAATTTTGCTAACTATAATTATAACATTCAGCTCTTGACTTCGTCTCTTCTCAAATGCAGTTCTAACATTTGTTGGCTGTTTCCTTTTAGATGCTACACTTGTGGATTCCACAGAGTATTCGAAAATCGTGGGTACAGCATTCTTCTTAAGGCGAAGCCGTCCTGTTGTCCATCCTACTGATTGCATCGCTTCAAAATTTTGCACGAAGCACGAACTCTCGAAATGTTGCGAGCACAATTTTGAGGTGTTTGTTGGCTTCCAATTTTTGCGTCGGATCTTTTCAATCCAAATATCTCGCATGCGTTTGTTTTCGGGAAACGAAAAAAAAGGAAACCTTTTACGTTTTGTGGTTCTTAGAAGAACCGTTTTTGCAATTAAATGCGGTACAACAAACCATATTTTGAACGAAGCGCGCAATTGACCGCGTTTAGCTAATGTCAACTATTACGTCACATCGACCTTTTTCCAATCGGTAGCCGTCGTTAGCTCGTCGGGTATTTTTAATACGTTATCCGAAAAGCATCAATTTTAAACCTCCATATCTTCAAAAATATTTATCCTTTAAGTCTCAAACATTGGTGAACTATTAGTTGGAGCTATACCTTTATGTAAATTACAAAAATAATAATCCGAATTTTATGTTGCATGTGTCTTTTAAGATAAAAAAAATTGGAAAGATACAATGAATTGAGAACCATTTATAACGTTTTTCGAAACAAATTGAAAAGCTGTAACGGACTGTATATTTATAAGCCATTAGTCCAGAAGGATATGCAGAGCGTCCGTTTTAAAACTCAAAACTCAAATTAAATGAACTTCATTCAGGCTGAAAAGTTTAATAAAAGACTTAAGATCATAATAATCAAAGACGTTTGTTGCAACGTTCTAATTTTATCGTTCAATTATTATATATATATATATCGTACAAATATTTTACGAAATCAGACGTTTTTCATAATCTTTAAAGTGTGGCATGTATATTTGTGATACGGTTGTACTTTATGTATGTAAAATTGAAGGTTTTCTAAAGATTGATTTTAAATACATTTTCTACCTAAAAAAACGAAGCCCTTGAAGAATTTAGTTTCTTGCATAACATGCTATGATGTACCAAGCTTTATTCTTTCAATCCACAACAAGTCTTTAAAAGAATTCTTTTGAAATTATTTGCTATCAGTAGTCGATCTATGGTTGGGCAACTCAAACCAATGTCGCACATATTGAAATTAAAAAATCTTAATTACAATTTACGCATGCGAGATAGTTTTTGTTAGCAAATGCTACCTAGCTCACTCATTATGAGATGCTGTTTAGTAAATAATCTGGACCTTTTTGCCACATTTTCTTTCTAATTCATCGAGTTAACTTTTTCACATGTAAAATGATTCGTTTGCCAGATATTTATTGTAATCATATTTCAAAAATACTTTTAAATCGAAAAATATTTTATTTAATATGCATATAATGATTTTGATAGATCTAATAGACGTATTGGATGAGGTTTTTTTGGAAATGAACTATCATTACACGTAAAGCCCACCGTATGCTTGGAGTAACTTGTTTAACTTGTAAAAGAAAGAAATTTAGTTTCTTTGGCTATAAATCATTTTTAAATGATATAAAACCTGCTTTTTTATACTGATAATGACATGTAACACTTGTATTCATACTCTAGTGATTTATTACATCAGACGCAACTCCTTGTGCTCACATTTTTATATAAATTTCTTTTGTGCGTGAGCATGAAAGAATAAATTTATCACGAAAGTTTTTCTCCTAGCAGCTGCTCTGATTTCAAATACTATTCCAGTAGTATATTTAACGTAGCGTCAGCGAACCTTCTTTTGTAGCTGACGAAAAAGGTTTTTACGTTGCGAGGCGGTGTTATCAATTTAATCTTTTTGAGAAAACACTTATATAATACAAGTGTCTTATTTGTAATATATTTACATATACAGGTGGCAGTCTCGTATCGACAATACCTGTTGTCTTCGCAACATAAAGGAGAACAAATTTCATGACTTCAACAATACTTGAACAAAATCGTTTTCTTCCATATGCATTTTCTTCAAATAGTAATAAGTAAATTTAACGAATTTATCGGTGTTCTTTTATATCACAAACAATTTTTTTGTTCTCCATATTTTATGCAAATGTCTTTTTGTCTCTGATCATAAACTACTAAAATGACTACGAAATTCCTTTTGTGGCAGCTGTTTCAGTTTCAAAACATTTTTGTCATAACTCATTAAACTTAAAGTTTATTTTGAATGAAAGATGGGAATGAATGCTTCTGTGCCCAATGTAACTATATAAAATAGAACTCAAAAGACGAAGGTTTCTACGTATTTTGTTATGTCTGAAGTAGAAACAAAGATATGATAAAGAATTCTGAACAAAAACACGTCGGGATGAACAGCGAAAATTGGCGCCGACAAAATCAACTGAAATATTTAGGCTTTGTTTAAAACAAAAAAAGTTCCTGTCAGAAAATTTGAATGAAAATATCTTTTGCTAGTTTTGTGGTTTATTGTACTTTGTTTTATTTGGTCTTTTCGTGGCAATGCTTAATTCTTTTCATCTGGTAAATGCTAAATGCACATCATGACACTTTCATTATATAAAGAATAAAAAATAATTTCACCAACCTTTGACTTAATTATGTCTTATCGTTTTTATATGAAGATCACTGACGCTTATATTTCTTCACCAAACACAAGCTCCGTGTAATCTTCTCTCTGCAACCAAAAGGATTGAAAGATAACAAACAGACTCGCCCTTTCTTTTTTTGTTGGTAGAGATCACGTGCATATACAAAGCGAATCTGTTAACCAATAAATTACTTGCTTTGGTTATTTTTCACTCATGCGCTATAAAAACAATGAAATGTACGAAAATATAACTATGCTTTCCTGTAATAGACCGCTCAGAAATGGCATCAACACATGCGCACAAAAGCAAGTTACAAAAGCAAAGTGGCTAGCAAGTGTAAATTAGCTGCAAAAGAGACATTGCGCGAATGAAGATTTTTCGTGATTTTGTGCCGGTCCATGAAAACATGCAACAAATTCCACTTTTCATTCCGGTTTCACTTCGTTCCGGTCTCATGTAAACAAAGCCTTATACTGTACTGAAGTTCAAAACTATATTCGTCTTCAAAATAATTGTAAATCGGCCACTACAATAGTCAGTTTCGGGAAGTTCTTTTTGTTGAATTGATGTTGTTGGTATTCACCACAAAATGGATGAGAACACCCAATTGAATCCTTGACGAAAATTGTTTTCTTGCCGGCATTTCTCTTTCGATGTAAAAATGATAACTCTGACAAATTTTATTACAGCCAAAGTTCATGTGAGCTCCGCGTTTTAAAATTTTTCTGCAAATTTCTTTTGTCTCTGAGCACAAAAGTACAAAGTTTTTTTCGCAGTTTCCGTTCCGATTTGAAAACGTAAATTTTAGTTTATATTTATTCTATATATGCAGATGACTTCTTAATTTGCATTTTTCATACTAATTTTGACATAGTAAACAGTTTGGCTTCTATAAGAAATGTCAAAGTCATCAGACGTAGAATGCTCAATTTTGTTCAATGTGCAAAAAGAAGAGAAAGTGTAACTTTTGTGAAGATGAAGTTTTAATTCTACCCGAAATGATCACATCTCAACGATCTAATCATCATTTTTTTGTTATCGGCATTGAAAGGTTTCCAAAAAGTTATTTTGAATACGTCACTGATAAGGTAACTTACACCTTCGAAAAGAATATCGTTGAATTACTTAATTGTCAGCTTTTAACCTATATAGATCGAAGTAACGATGAACACTATTTTTTAATTGTGTCTAGGTTTTAGCAAAATAAATAATAGCTGTTAATTTTAAATTAAAAGTACCATCTTTACAATGTCATTGGTGATAAATATTCATTTAGCAAAATTTAACCAATCAATACACATTTGTTTATTTTTCTGACCGCTAAATTTCCGATGTTGGTAAAAATGGTAGAAATGACACATAGCAACGAATCAATAAAACATTTCTTCAGTCACGATAATCTTTTACAAAATTTAGTCTTTTTGCAGAACTTTCTTTACAATTTTGGAGATTTATGTTCTTATTCACGTTAGCTATGTTGATTTTAAGAACTATGTAGTCTTGCAATGGCTAAAGTTCATAAAAAACATGCAAATTTAAAAATATTTTAGTGCGGGGTAATACGGAAGCCGGAAGTTTTGCATTTAACCGACGTTTTATAAACATAAAATAGCGTAGAGTTTATGAGTTTAGTAATAGTTTCTAACTTGAAGAAAATTATATTGTTGTCGGCATTTTCTTCCAATAAAAGGTAGTACATCTGATAAAATTATGGATTTATATCCATGGCAACTTCCTGTGCTCACATTTTAAGTAAATTTCTTTTGTGTGTGAGAATGGAAGAACAAATTTATCGCGGAAATTTTTTTTCCTAGCAGCTGTTCCGATTTCAAAGACTTTTCTAGTAGTTTATTTAACGTAGCGTCAACAAACCTTCTTTTGTAGCTGATGAACAAGGTATTTGCGTTGCGACGAGGTGTTATGAAGTTAATCTTTTCGAGAAAACACTTGATACAAGTGTCTTATTTGTAATGTACATATACAGGTGGCAGTCTCGTATTGAACCGACCATACATGCTGTCTTCCCAACATAAAGGAGAACTAATATCATGAGTTCAACAATACTTGAAAAAAATTATTTTCTTCCGTATGCATTTTCTTCCAATAAAAATAAGTATATTTAACGAATTTATCGATGCTCGTTCATATCAACTACAATTTTTTTGTTCTCCATATTTTTGTTTGTGATCATAAACTATTAAAATGATCACGAAATTTTTTTGTAGCAGCTGTTCCAGTTTCAAAATAATTTTGTCGTACTACAAAAACTTAAAATTTATTTTGAATGAACGATGGGAATGAAGGTTTCTGGTTGCAATGCAACTATTTAAGATAGAATTCAGAAGACGAAGGTTTCTATAATATTTATTTTGTTATGACTCAAGTAAAAATGTCAATAAAACAATGGCATGATAAAGTACTCTCAATAAAAGTGCGTCGCGACGAGAAGCGAGAGTTGGCGCTTACAAAATCAAATGAAATATTTAGACTGTGCTCAAAACAAGACAAGCTCCATTGAGAATTTTTCACTGAAATAACTTTTGCCAGTTTTATCGTTTATTGCATTTTGCTTTTGTTTAGTTTCTTTGAGGCAATGAATCCTTTTCATCTGGTAAATGCTAAATACCCATTACGACACTTTCGTTATATAAAGAATAAGAAATAATTTCACCCACCTTCTTCTTAACTATGTCTTATAGTTTTTATATAAAGATCACTGACGTTTATATTTCTTCACCAAACACAAGCTTCGTGTAATCTTCTCTCTACAACCAAAAGGATTGAAAGATAACAAACAGACTCGCCTTTCTTTTTTTGCCTGCTAGAAATCACGTGCATAGGCAACGCTATATGAACCAATAAAATAATTGCTGTGGTGATTTTTCACGCATGCGCTAAAAAAACAATGAAATGTGTCAAAATGGAATTATGCTTTCTTATGATCGCTTTAACATTTGGATTGTTTGAAAAGCAATAGTGCCGACATTCTGTTGCATATGCCGAAAGTTTTTCATTACGAAGTTTGTAAATGTAGCTGTAAGAGAACTATAAATTAAACACAACAATTTCTAAAACACAGCAATACATAAATCTTCATTAAATATTAAACGTGCAATGACAGGTGGCCCACCTTAAAAGGAAAATTACCGTACGTGGAAAATTAAATAGTTAAACCAGCTGCCATATATCGATATAGATCTAAGCAAATCTTTGATCAATGGATTGAATTTCTGCATTTGTTATTCAACCGTGTCTTGTGAATCTGTGAGCCTGTAGGACCAAAACATTGCATTCCTTTCTATAGGAACTCTACTTGATCTATTAAGGTTCCTTCGAGATTAGTATAAAGGATATGATAATTAAGGCTGCATTCGGAATACGTTTCAAAGAAACAAATAACAGCTGTATTATGGTCGCCAAATTTATGACCATCTTCTCAGTAAAGTTTAGAGGGTTGAGGAAAGCATCCTTTTGAAAGTCCGGCAAATTTATTTGCTATTTTATCTATTCTCTGGCTTCGCCTTTCTGCCTGTTGTTGCAGCACTATAACATTAGAATTTTTGACTGTTTTTATCTCAAAAGCTTTGTTGTTTCGGCATACTTCATGCCATCTTCTATGCGAAGTGAATAAATAGAATGGTTATAAGACATTTAAAATAGACGACAAATTTTTTTATAGCAAACATGTTTCGGCATACTTAGACACGGCTCACACAGCTTACCTTATAAGAAGCAACCTTATAAGGAAATTTATCTAGACAAATCTTGCATACAGCAATGTGGATCAAAGAAAATCATAAATGCTGGCTTTGTGATTTAATTCCGAGTCTTTATATAAGTTTGCTGGGATTTTTATTTTGAAGTAGTTCTGGTGAAAGACAAGAAGGGGTAGAGCGTCGTTGGTTTCTGTGGAGAATAAATTCAAGATGTGTTGTTAAACACAGCATTTTAAACAATAAATTATAGATCATTTACAATGGCAAATATCTTCCGAAATTTTTCTTAGAATGGACACCTTATGCTGCTGCAAAAACAACAATCTCCCTTTAAGCGGTCTTAATGCTTGTGTTTGTTTTTTCAGCAAGTTTTACGTAACTCAGTGGTTGATCAGCGATTTTGCAACATTTTCTTTCTAAATTTATCGATTCATGCTGCATGTCAATATTGCAAATTCATTGTTGCCGCATTTATTATTCATTTTAAGAATGTAAACTTCAAAACACTTTCAAACGGATTAAAGGCTAGGTAGATTTTGAACCTCTAAATGGCCCAGCAAAAGATTTATCCTCCTTTGAAAATATGTGTAAACAAGGCAATACAATGTCAGTAGTGGGAAGTTTTGTATTAGCAGACGATATTTGTCATCACAACATTGACAAGACCAGAGAGTTCATGAGTCTAAAAAAATTTTCCAGGATGTTCTTCTGCTAACTTTAGTTTTTAATTTGTAACCGATTCGTTTTTTGTTATTCATAACTTGTTGGATTTGTTAAGTTACGTTGATCAACAGGTTATAAATTTTTTATAAAGTTCATCATACTAGAAGGGAAAGCTGCAATTTCAGTTTTCATAAACTATTTGGAATCCTCGAGCATATTCAACAACATGAATTTCTGGGTTTTACAGATCATCTTTGACTCGCCTGACGCCAAGGATGTTGCATTGTTAATTTTATCTTGTTGGTTGAACATTAGTAGATGTGTTTAACAAAAAAGCTATATAACTTGCGAGAAAAACTTTTCATGGCACATCAATAAATTGGTGCAGCAAACCAAAAAATATCTGAAGAAATTGTCAGCCAAACTTGTTGCTAGAAGTTGCTTCTGATTGAACAAAGCCTTTACGATGGTTTGTTTTGTGGTGTACTCCTACATGTACGGGCTAACATTTTAAGGGGAGCAATTAAACATTTTCAATCTGAAATGGCTTAATTCACCAAACTTTCCTGCAAATAATGCCTTTCTAGCTTTGTCTGCCCAAGGTTTTAGGTTCCTGCTCCACCTAATATGCATATGAGAATACTTTAGTCATGTTTGGAACTTTGCACTCAGTCAACTGCTCTTATAAACTTAACCATTTCTTAATCTCCCCCTCCCTTCTGGCTTTGTCTGCCCAATGTTTTAGGTGCTTGCTCCTACCTAACATGCATATGGGAATACTTTGTCATGTTTAGAACTTTGCACTCAGTTAACTGCTCTTATAACCTTAAACATTTCCCAATCTCTTCCCTCCCTTAAGAAATAATACTATACATCATAGAAAATATATCTGGGAATTGGCTTTTTTCCTTTTAGGCACTGTTTGGTATACAGGTTGTCCTAACGTTGGTGGTAGCATTGTTTCTTCACAAATTTTCACCATATATGTTGCTGGCCAGTTGATTATTATGCAGTGGGTATGTTGTCTCAAGTGTTTGTTTTTGACATTTTCTGTTGTAATTTTCACATATGTCTTTCCTTAGATGGGTACGTCATGTACCACCCTCTGACACAGAGTTGAGAAAACTCCTTGGTAAAACACAAAGAACAAAGTCAAATAAAGCTAAGCGTTCTGATGCAAGGTATTAATTATAAAGATTTGTTTTCACATATTGTCGTTGCATTTCATTGTTTTTTACATTGTTACTATTGCTACACTTTCGGTACACATTTTGCGATATATTTTGACATTTTATAAGGGCCTGTACAGTATGATATAGCTTTTTCAATATATCTTACCTTGTATATTAATTCACTTTGTTTTAAAATTATCTTCATATGAAGAATGGTCCAGTCTGGCTTGGCAAGATTTCCCCAAATGAAGCAGTTTCTCCTCATTAAAGGTCTTATTTGAAAGCATAAAATGGGCTTGCCTGGCTTAACTGGGCTGGAAGTGAGGAGACTGTGCATGCTGTTGTTTCACATGTTTATTCTAATATGGCGGCTAATTCAAAAGCGACAATGATCATTTGAAAAATAAGTTTAAAAGTTTTATCTAATTATGCTGCATTGTAGCTTGTACCATCATGATTGTGGTTTCAAATAAAAAATCGTGGAATGTTCAAGTTTAAACACATTCAAATATTGGCACAAAATGCAACAAATTAATATTTGAAAATGTTGGAATGTGCAAGTCTAAACACATTTGAACTTTAGCACAAAATGGAACAAGTATTGACAACATTTTAGAAGGGGATTGACAGCATTTTAGAAGAACCAGCCTGTCTTATACAACTTCAAATACATATTAGCCTCTGGCAAACTGGCCAGCTCAGCCAAACTGGGTTTGCCTTTTTATATGAACAGGCTCTTACAATTGATCTGTTATTCTCTTGTCATCTTGTCCAGGCTAAAATCAGCATAAACTAAACAGTTGTTATTCATAAACACCGTTAATGTTTCTCTTTTGTTCTGTAGGAAAAGGAAGAAAATAATGGAGCATCAATTCAATTTATATCTTCTGAGCCGTTATCCATACCTTGCAACATGAACATTCAACTGAGAACAGTGAATGTAAGATTGCTTTTCAATACCTGAAGTATATTTCAAATTTGTCTCATTTTAAAGTGCATATGACCTCATCATGGGGTTTTATTAATTCCGACACATCTCAAATAGTGATTTGACAACTTTAAGAAAATGTGCATTTCCAAAGCTCTAGTGGTTCAAAGACATATTTTGAAAAAAATGGGTGAACCTTTTGGAATGGAACACAAGAATATATAAATATGCGTTGAACTTATAATACAATATACTTTTCTTGTACCTATGCAGTGTTTAAAAGTTATAAACAAAACATACTTTGCAAAAAATCTATTACAACGCATAATTTACAACATAATTTCTACATTGTTGTTGAAAGTGCATTTCTGGGATCCAGGACTTTGGGTGCGCCGTCGTTTTCTGATCCTGTACCTGAGTTATATTATTTTTGATATTTTTTTTGTATGTAGAAAGTATTGTAGAAGTTGTCAACTAACTTTTGAGGACTGTTAGAATCAATAGCCCCAAAATGTGGTCATAAGCAGTGTCTCTTGTATCAGTGGTTTATTCAGTCACCGCGTGTATATACAGGGGGGTTGTAAGAATCGGGGGGTAAAGTCTTTCTTGTTCATTGAGCATATGATTTTGAGGCAGGGGGTGAGGCTTTGTTTCATTGACGTAAATTATGAATGCGATTGTGATTTATAAACTGTTTAATCAGGAATTGCTTGCCCGAGTTTGAAAAAAATTCGGATTTTGTTGTGCTGTCAATCACGAGATAACATTCTTACATGAAGTCCTTGAACTAATGAAATCTGTCTTGGGTAGTTTCACGTGTAAGTAATAAAACGTATAATGAAACATTATTTACCTACATAATACATTGCCATATGTGAGATTACATTGCTGTGAATTTTGTTGTGCAATTTGACAACTATATTATAATACTCAAATATGACCAAACTCTGGTCTCAAGCAGGACGAGTGAACGCCCGATAGGCGTCTTGCATGTCTTGTTGCTTGCAGACAACCAAGAATATCTTCATTCATTTACTGGAGGGGTTGTACTTAGCTTCGAAAGCACTATCCACTGCATATTGGCTATTTTAAGTGTTTTAAAATAGGGTTGTTATTGTTTCACAAAATAAAACTATGTTTTCATGTTATAAGTGTTAAATGGTTTATTGTATTGATTGTCGTCTTTAAATAGTAGTTTTTCTGCTTTTTAAAGAGACATTTAAAACAAACGTGGTTTTCTTATATGGTGGAAAACACTATCTAACTTTTCTCCCACAAGCTCCAATGACAATAGTCAAAAAATAGCTACATTCCACAACTTTCAACATTGTCTATATGTAATAAAACTCTTGCACCATCTCTCTTTCATTCCAGTTATTGAAAGATGACTACCCCCCCTATATAGCCCATTACATCATAACTTCAATCTTTTGGCATAGTAAGTCGATGTGTAATGAATCTTTGTAACGCCCCCCTTTTTTTTCATGTATTTGAAGATGACTACCCCTCAGTAAATATGCCATAACGTCATAACCTCAAGCTTTCAGCATTTTCGATATGTACTGAAACTTTGCACCATGCCCCCTTTCTTTCGAAGTATTGAAAGTTGGAAACTCTCAATAAATACACTATAAAATTATATTGTAAAACTAACATAAAACACTTTCCCATTAGGTTGATGAAACAGATTTGATATTTCAATGTTATTATACAGAATACAAGTGGCTCGTTGATTTTGCTGTGTCTGCCGTCATATTCAATATCATCATCGAGGGGATTTCGTGTTTATTTCCCGCTCTTTTACGTAACGACATCAATGTGACGCCATTGTGGAATTTCTTGGGCATATTTTTTGCAATGTATCCTTTTTAATGAAACGAAAGGGATCTTAAGCTTGACTTAATGTCAGCCTTGAAAACGAGGTCGGCCCGATTGTTGACTTTCAGTCTTCAAAGTCGGCAAATTTATGCTGACCTTTCATTTTATTGCAGTAAAATCCGCGATATTTTTGTTCATCGTGTACTGTAAAAACCTTTCTAACTGTTTGAAAATTGAGTTAGACATTGCGCATTCTAAGCACTCAGGCTAATCAAAAGCTCGTCAATTATGAAGGCAAACTGCTATGGTGGAAGTCCGGACATTCGTTTCGTTTTCATTAAGTTTGCAAATTATCAAAATTGTTATCAAAATGTTATCAAATTTTTTTGTGACAGAGAATTGACATTAGAATTTTTTTGCATATTTTTCCGGGCTCTAACTTGGTAACTTGGGTGTTAACTCGACTTATGGATGGTTGGTTCTGTACAAATGCGATATTTTAGGTTAAGTTTGCAACCAAACCTTCCGACATAAAAATTGCCAGCAACGTTTGGCATTTCTTTCGACGGTCTTACTTTCGTCTTTTCTCATGCTTCAAGCATTTATGTAAACACACACGACTGAATTTATCTTTTTGAAAAAAATATAGACGGGGGCAAGGACTAAGGGTATGCGGAGCCGAAGATTGTTAATGGTTAGGTCCACCCCCCTCTCAAGCGAAGTACAATCTCTTCTCATTACTTAATGTATTTAGTGTATTGAAAATGCTTCTCTGGTATTTTTGTGACCCTTGCGTAATGAAGGTATTTATGTATTTTAAATTCGAGTCCAGCCTTCCCCAAAAGGTAAATAAACACTACACATGGGACAGTGACCACCCCTCCTGTAAGGTTCTTATGCTTTCCTTTACTCTACATACAGACGTGTTTTGTTTCTGCTCACGGCTTCCTATTGGTCGGGTGATGATTCAGGAGAAAAATCTGTCTGCTTGACATTTGGTGTTTTTTTCTTTGTTCTGGCGATGGCCATTTTGGTAGTCGATGAATCTATGTTGGAGTTCAATTTGGACTCGGGTAATCTTTTAATTTAGTTCGTAAACTTTTTCTAAATATTTTTTTGCCATAAATATCACTGAAATGAGCAGAAAACTGTGAAATCATTGTAACGCGCTGAATGAGAGATGTCGTTATTAGATGAGAAAGTGCAGCGAATTATAAAGGATTGGAAGACAATTATTATGTGTTGCTTCGTTTGGGTCAGATTTGATTTGCTTTTCTCTGAGATTCACTTCGGATCATCTCACATTGATCCTGATTTACAATACTTCGGATTTAAGCTAAACTAACTTAACTAACATTCACAGTACCGTTAATTCGACCTTGTTTGTTTGCTTGGAAACAAATCCTTAAGTCTTGGCACAGTATAGGAATATACGGTAGCTTCACTTCGCTGTGCAATTGGCTGCATATAAGAAAATAGTTTACTTGCTGCCGTTTGCCATATCGTCAATCCTATTTGTCACACAATGCAATTTACTGACTGCCACTATGGTAGTCACTTGCCTAATAAGATATGTGTGGCACAAAATGATTCAATGGAGTGGCTCTACTGTATGTTCTCTATACTGTGGTCTTGGTAAGTCTCTGTTAGCCTGCTCACGGGTCTTTCTTACCTTCAAATCAGGCTTCATCACTTTCACTTTGTTTGTTTCTTTTACATGGAAATAACACAGCTCTTTGTTGTTTTACGACTTTCGTGGACAACGGAGTTCTTCTAAAAAGTTAAAATAACTGTACTTTAAAAGGTGTCTCCTAGAAGCAAGATTCTGTATTTTGCCAAATACCGACGAAATCTTGTCTTTCTAATCAAGAAACAGTAAATTTTCACTTACTCCGTTTTATGAGCTTTCAATCTACTCCGAATCGTTTTCGTCTCATGTTTGAGTCGACTTTCTCTTTAGGTTATGAAATATTTTCTGAAGAAGCTGAATTATTTTTGAAGAAACAAGGATTCACACGAGAGTAAGTCAATTCCGAGTCTCAAGAACGCGATATTTAAATTAAAACCATAACGAAGCATTTGTGTTCTTACACTTTGTCTTAATTGTCTTCAACAGAGGTGGATCCGCTCCAATATGGATTTTCAAACTCGCGCTCGCTGTTATCTCGGGAATTATCGGAGCCTTTCTCGGCTTTCCTGGCATTAGAATATCAATAATGTTCTTGGATTTGATAGAGCAATACAAATCTAACAGGTTGCTTCTGTAAGTAGGAATACTTGTCTAACATGCTTCTTCTATAAGTAGTATTTGTAGCGTTAATGACATTAAATATTCATCATAAATAAATTGTGTTTATGTATCAGCTTCACTTTGTTGTCATAAATTGAGATAATTGGCTTAATGTACCATTTTTTAAATTTTTAGTGTCCTTTTTTATGTAAATTTCTTCGCTCCTCTTTGTCTTGTTTTATTGTGGATCAAACCCTTGGCTCGCGAATACTTCACGAGCAGGAATAATTCATTTTCGTAAGTGAAGAAATGACTTCCCTCGTTCTTCTCATGTTTTTGTAACTACTTTCTTAAACTAACGTTGGTGTATTTTATAGAGTATCGGACTCAAACTTTGATAACATTCGCATTGGAGTCATCTTACTTTGTTGTCTTATGCGGTTTTTCCTTACCAAAATGCATCTACAGGCTTTCTTAGACATCGCCAAAGTTAAAGTGAATAGAATGAAAAGGGAAGCGGGCAGAACGAATAGTTCTGCTTTGCAAAAAAAGGTAAAAATTTTTTTTTGTTGTATTCTCGACACTATTTCTACTTAATTTACGATTTTGTGGAAGCCACATTTTGTGAAATATTTGTTCTTCGACGGATGGACTGCGATGAAACATATTTAATTTTTGTTCGCTTCAATTTAAACTAAATGTTTAGATTTGTATGGAAATTCACAGTTTGTTACGAAATTAACGATTCGACATTTTACTACGCTGGTTTTTGATTTTATTAAATTATTTAAGGCCAGTACGTGTATTTTTTTTTTACAATTAAAACGAATTTCCAAAAGCAAACAGAAAAATTTCCACAATGCAAGAAGCAGAACAAAAAACATTTAAGAATACTGGTCGGAAGAAAAATATTTGGAAAGTGAGTTTTATTTTCTCAACATTCCCCGCGTGTTTCTAAAATTCTATAGAAACAGATTAAACGTTTTCTATTTCGTAAATAGAACATCAATGTTCCTCATGCATGTGTTGATGAATGCGTTCTTAGTTGCTCTGTTAAAATTTATTTTCAACTATCAAAGAAAACAATTATTTTTTGAAACTATATAGAACTATGCAAAATGGCGTCTTGGTAAGAGTATTTGCAAAATGAAGAAATGTAAATATCTCTAAAGAGAAGTAAATTAACATAATGAAACTGAAGTAGTTGTTAAGTATTTTTAAATGATCGTTGCCATACAGTCAGAAAACTGTTAGGTAAATTTCTGTGTTAATATTGTTAATTTGAGGTAATGTACATTTCGCAATATCCTTCATTTTATAATGTTCACTTTCAAATATCGGTGTATTTTTTGTATTTTTTAGATTTTTAGTGTTTTTTATTATTTATCTGTGGCTTCTCTTCAATATTTGACTCCAGTTATCCTTTTGGTCTTTCTGACGATATCTTTAAGAACAGCAGGTACATATTGGGATTATTTGGTATACTAGGTAGTCTTTAGTTATTCTTTAAGAACTGCAGGTGCATATTGGGATTATTGGGTGTACTGAGTAGTCTATAGTCATTCTTTAAGAACAGCAGGTACATATTGGGATTATTGAGTATACTGGGTTGTCTTTAGTTAGTCTTTAAGAACAGCAGGTACATATTGAGCTTTATTTGGTATTTTGGGTAGTCTTTAGCTTTTTAAAAATCAACTGGCAATATTGAATTTATTGGAGATGCCTGTTACTTTATCGTACACAAATCATTAACGATTCGTTGAATTCCAGCTACCTGGGCTCATATCGTCAATTTCCAACTGTAGATTAAAGGGACCGCTGACCAGTAAAGACAGGAGCTACAGCCGCCCCTTCACCCACAATAATTTCTACCTTCACTTGTAAACATTGCAAATGCGTTTGTTTTGAGATTGTAAAGGGATGGGCCTCTTTTCCCTTCCTCAATAAATATCTCCCTATGTCCCTTGGTTGTACGTACTTTGTTGCAAATAAAAGTTTCTCCATTATATTGTCGAAGACAGTTAGAACTATTGTTATAAATGCATTTTCTTCACAGGTACTACCGACTGGGAGTCGACCAATGCTTTAATGAAACGTCTTCAGAAATCAATGCTTGTTTCAAATGTCACGGTGAACGATGTTCAAAATCTACGTCACGTGTTCGTGTCGGAACTTGTCAGAGCTGTGACGTCATATTTCACGTGGTGGATATGCCTGGCGATGTTTATGACGTCTGCTTTTGGTGTTGTCTATCATCAGGTGTTTTATGTATAGATGTGTACACTGACGGTAAGAAATATGGTTATTTGTATTGGATTGGGATGGATTATGTTGAAGTCGGAAGCTCTCGGCAGAATTCGTAGGTAACCGACTTGTTGGCAAATTTTATCATAGCTTACTCAAATTTTATCAATCATAGTCTGGGTAATACAGTAACGCTCTGTAATGTCCGACTGGCCAATTTTGAGGATTTTTGGCAAATTAGATTTTATAGATTTTGAATACTATATGAACAAATCGCCGTGCTATAGTTATATTTTATCAATGAATATTGGATAATCATCACAATCAATATTACTTTTTGATTGTGTTCATCTACGTAACACAAACTTTGAATGTCAATTGTTGTCTTTTTGTTTTACTTATGCAGACTTTGCTGTCTTTTGCTTTGCAACTTCCTTTTAGTATTTTGTACATTTGAGATATTTAACAATTAGATTACTAGCTCGAGATATTATGAGGTGATAGTTGATAATGGCGAAGCCTGAATCAACTTCTTACGTCGGTGGAAATCGAGAACAAATTCGTGAACGAACTCCTCTCGAATTGTCTTTTCAAGTAAACAATCAAATTCATTGTATGACACTAAGTAAAACGCTAGACAGAAACCATAATTTTCTGCTACTTGCTATCTAATGAGAATTCAATAGGAAGTATAATAGCCAATTAAATTACAGCATTTGCTATAGAATAAGAGTAGTATTCTCGTAATTACCAATTAGATTACAAGCAATCAAATGGTTTATTAGCAGAATCATCTTAATATTCATGAAGAAAAAGGTTGCTAGTATAATTTTCATTAATTTATTGTTTTGTGCATATGTTGTTGACATCTCTATTAAAAGCGAACGAATGTTACTCGATACATATAAAGTTATTTTAAAGGAACTTTTTTTATTTTATATTTAAATATCTTTAAGTCGAATTTAGTGGCAACTTTACTCTTCTTTTGTATTGTCTTTCAGCTAAACAATAAAATATATCGTCAGAAACCTTAGTAGAACGCGAGACAGCAGCCATGTTTTTTCATGCATACGCCAAAAAAGTAATGAAATGTACGAAAATGGAATTGTGCTTTCCTATAATCTCTTGATCATTTTGGATTGTTTCAAAACCAATAGTGCCGTGATTCTGTTGCATATGCATAAAATTTTTGATTATGAAGTTTGTTAAAGTAACTTTAAAAGAAAAATAAATTAAACACAATAAGCTCAAATCCAAATCTTACATGTAGCTTTTCAGTATATAGCATAATTCTTTAGCAACCAAGATCTTGTGCTCAATTTGATAGTTTATGTAATTTTGATTTAGAAATTTGTTCATTTTTGCAATTTGTGATAAAATTGAAAAATATGTTTTCATTTTAAAATACTGATTAAAGATACTATAAAAGGAGTAGAAGGGCTGTGCATTTTGTTGATGAAAATTGAACATTTATCATATAGCTATTTTTCAAGCTATTTTTCAAGCATGAATTTGATTGATAATGTGTCAAGCACATACGATTTAGTGAAATTAAAATGACAAATTACAAAATAATTTACGGGAATTATTTTACACAATTCAAACAAAATTCTTTACGAATAAAGTTTTTCTGTACATCGCAGAAAAGGTTGGTGATAAAAACGACACGACGAAAACAACACTAAAATAGTACACACAAAATCAACAGAGTAATTGCATAAACATTTGGTGACACTAGTCATGCCTAGGGATGTTTATGACATCAGCATTTAGTGTCGTCTGTAATCATATCTTCGATAAACAATTATGTACAATGAGATGTAAGACATATTTTGAATGGATTAAATTGGGGTTTGTTGAAGTTGAAAGCTCTCAGCAGAATTTGTACGTTTCCGATACATCGGCTCGTTTTGTTTTTATGTCGATTTTTATCACCTGAGGAATACAGTATAGCAGTGTCTATATCAGCTGCTGTTCAAAATTTTCGACAATTTTCGTCATAATAGATTTATATATGATTATTATTGGCTACCAAATAAAAGCGTCGCCAGGCTACAGTCATTTCGTTGATAAAAGTCGAAACTTTATAAGAGCATATTTAATCATTTTGTTGAATTTGATACAATTTATCCTGATTTGCAAGGTAAAATATGATTAGCAAGGTTTAGCTAACATTTTGCTCGTCATTTTTCTTTTATCCTTCGCTTGGGCTTTGATGTAATACATTACAACTACTAGTGATTATGTAATTAAGAAATCGTAAAGTGCATTTTCAAAAAAGTTAGACATCGAAACACTGATTTTAAATTGTTTTTTATCCTCCAAAAGGTTCTTGAAAATTTTTCTGCCCGGAGCACCATTCCTTAAACAAACGTCTAATCAGTTCTTTTTGATCGGGGTTTCTTGCGTAAACTCTGAAGTATTTGTCCTCGAAATCTCGTGGCAACATTCCACTCACTTGTTCTCTCTTTATTCTTATTACTTCGAGAGACTTATTGAAAAACATCACAGCATCAATTGGATTTTTATTTTTCATTCCAAAATTGATTTTAACGGAAGAAACAAATATATCCTCTTTTTTTAACTCTCCTTTGGAATTTTGAGCTAAATCTTCGGCAATTTTTGTACGAATTTCGTCGTCATTTAATTCTGGTGAACTTGACTTGCCTTTTGATTCTTGCCGACTTTGGCCGCAAAATTTGTAAATTTTGCGGTTTTGTATGCGTTTTATCAAATCTTGCGCTTTTTTGAAAACAGGCGTTTCGTTTCGCAATATGTCATGAAGAATGCTGTCTGTTAGGACGCAGTATTGTCTCATATCTTCATATTCTTCATATTGTACTGCTTTTTCCACAGCATCTGAAATTTTCATGACTTCGTCGACTTTCTTAAACGCTTGAAAGAGCAAGTCTTCTATAGGTGCTAGAGTTTTGTGTTTATAAACTCTATGATGAAGGGACCAACGGGTGTGGAATAACTCGTACAAGTTAAACACCTCTTTGTCACGTACACAGATCTGAAGTTGTTGGTTATCAGGGTTAGACATGATGCGAACATTTTCAAAGTAGCGTCGATGGTCAAAATTACTTTTGACTCCAACATTAGCGCAGTCACGGGCAAAATAATCAAACTTGTCACAGTCGATACCATTTCTTTTGTTCGACACGATTTCATAAAGAAAGCATTTAGGTTGGTTTTTCTTCTTACATATTCTTGTCACATCATTGGGATTTTTACCTAAAAAAAAACATCCGCCATCATTGTTTAAACATGTGCCAGCAAAAAAGCAGCCAGTTAAAAGAAACCTGAAAGCCTTATCAACCGGATGTCAATTTTTGATTATTTCAAAATTATATCAGACAAGAAGTGAGAAATTTGATGGAACAAAATGTCAACTCTATAAGGACAAAATTTTCATTTCATTTTCGTAGAGAAAGTGCTACCATCATTTTGATAGCTACTTCAGAAAATCAACAGACAGCACTGATAGGCTTCAGACATTAAGCTCCAAATGTGCATTTAGAATCAAAGTGTATCAAAATCAAATAATATTTGTGTCTGTAATATTAGGTGTTCCTTTTTTTATACATTTCAAATAAAAAAGCTTTATTGACTATGTTGGTAACGATCCCTGCGTTTGGCAATACCTTTGATAAGTTCCTTGATGAACTCTATGTCTTCCTCTCCAAGTCGAAAATCTTCAAAACTCTGCCTAAGCTTTGAGTTTTCCTTGAGCATGAAATCGAAAAGATCACAAGACAAATCCTCATGCTGCCAGTCAGGTTTTTGCTTTTTGATGTACTCTTCTTCAAAGAAATGAGAGAACGGTCCATGGCCAAGATCATGACAAAGTCCGGCTATTTTAATACACATGCATTCTTTATCTGTGATCTCAATCTCTCCACGATGAAGCTCTTGTAGTTTATCAATCAACTTCCCACACAAATAAGAAGTTCCAAGAGAATGTTCGAACCTGTGATAAATTAAAATTTTAAGGTGAATATTTATGCTGGTTTGAACATCCTCGATTATATCGATTATTAATAAGATCGCATTACATTTTTAGTATCAATAACTATACCTAGTGTGAGTTGCTCCAGGGTAAACATAATCACAGATTCCCAACTGCTTGATATCTTTCAAACGCTGGAATTGTGGCGTGTTGATGATGTCCACCAACAAAGGATGAAGTTTGATGGTGCCATGAATTGGATCATTGAATATCTTATACTCTAACTTCGTTTGGTTGGAAGCAGAATCTCTCTCGACATAAGCTGAAAACATCAAATAAAACAACTTACTTTTTTGACATACCTTCCTTGAAAGAGATAACTTGTGGCTTTTGGCTTTTTCGTTCGACCTATTTGTTAGTGCTCCACGGCTTTATACAAAACATGCTTAAGCCAAAACCTTAATTAATTATTAGATGTTGTGCAATAACATGTTTCTAGAAATGGATTTAGTATTTATCAAAAATCTCCCATAAATTCAAAGGACGCGTGTTCACATGGTGCTCGTTTGACAACATTTTTTTTTGCATTGTCAGCGCCAAATTTATGACTATTTGTCTCACTGAAAGGTCAAAGATGTGGAAAAATGCTGAAAACGTCCGTTTTAAAACTCGAAACATAAATTCAATGACGGCTTTCATGAAGGTTTAAGTAAAATGAATGTCGAAGAAGATTGTATCACTTTGAGTCAGTAGCTAAATAAAGTTATGTAGGTCAGCACACTATGGCTAATGATAAAGGGTATCTATTTGTATTTACTTTTACGTAATTCTTAGTGATGGAAGTACACTGGGATAGGTATTTTTGTTTACCATTTGACAGATGATGACCATGCTTTTTGCCGAGTACTTTTACAGCAACTAATGCACTGCTAAAAATGTTTTTCAGCCAATCAATAGCGCGATATTACTGCAAGCGATGCTTGACTTATGGTAAAAAGCTTATCGGTCGATTATCTTCATGTTTAACAGCCTCGGCATTTAAAATTTTTATCGTTTTTGATTTCAAAATCTTCGTTGTAAGACGATACATGTATGTTTTAAACTTTTTGCATGCTATTAATATAAAGTTTCTAACAAAAACCTTTACTTTCATTGTAAATATGAAGCGATGTAAAGTTTAGCGACAGTTTTTAGCGACGAAGGTCTTTTGGTCTGACTATGGGTTTATTTATTCATGGTGTTTGCCATTACTGTAAGTCACGTGACTGACAACGTGAGCTCTCAATATATACATTTTGAAAGTTATTTAAAAGTGTGAACTTATTATGTTGTTAGAAAGAACCTCAAAAAGTGAGACAAAGTCAAACGAAAACTCATTCCTGAAAAATAATACCGAGAGAGTTATTACACGAGAAAGTTCTTGCATGACGTCTTCACTGAATTAATGCAAGATTCAATTAAGAATTGTTTTACAACGTATTACATAATACTATTAATATTTAATTCAGTAAGGTTACTGTGAGTCCATATAAGT